TATCTTTTCTTCTGACCACTTCCTGCCTAATTTCATATTTTCGAGTTCCATTGCCAAACAACAAGGATGACACTTCTCCAAAAACATACGGTGAGTTTCATCTATAGGTTTTCTGCAATCATAAGGTCATTTTAGATGGCTCGTTCAATAACAACCACACAATTAACTGAATTCATTCGATTGTTCTAATCCGAGCGAGTGGCAGAAACGTCAACACCATCAAGCACCCTGGAAGTGATTGCCATACTGCATGTTTTATTCTGGATACTTTTGGATCATTACTACTCCTTACGAATGGCGTTATATATGTCGTACACTGAATAATCTAATTTTCAAGAATAACCCAGGCGAGTTCAGTTATTTTACTTAATGATTTTTTTGTACTTAACATGTATATGTTTTCTAGTTGCTTTTGCCATATTTTTGTAAGTGTCCGTAAGCTAAATGCGGTTCATAACGCATCATATTCCTGCCTGAAGTTTCACAAGCAGTCTTAACTTTAAAATTATTTTCTGGTCATCTTCATTATTTTTAAATCGTCATATACGTCAACAACCTGCTTGTTAACCTGGCCCATACATACGTTACACTATATCTTCATGTTTTCTAAATTTAGGAATCATCTGAATCGCCTTTAACATTTATCAATAAGCCCATCATAGTCGTTGTTGCTAATCATATTTGGGTTTATGGATTGGTTTATCATATTAGCAGCCTAAAATGCGAACATAGTTTAGATAATAAGATGAAAGATTTAGGTACTATCAACTGCACTAGTAAAATAACTAAATCCCCAGGTAGCTGTTGGCTAAACAAACGTTTAAAATCAAAACTCCGTAGCCTACTAGAATTAACACTAAACGAATCTTTCTGAATTGAAATTTATAATTAAATTAGGCGTCTCGGATTCTTTAACGTTATAAATTTCTGATAATTTCGAATCACCTAAAGCAACAATACCTATTTTTCCACTGACTTATCCTCAATCAACAATATAACTAGTTAAACGTAATAGTTTCAGGATATCGTCATAAAGCATTGTCATGACTTGACAATCACGTAATACGATTGATAAAATTAATGAAACTATTAACAAAATCGGTCAGCAAATTGACTTACAATTATCACTAGTGTTGTTTTCTTGGTATCTTCATTCGCTACAGATGATTACAGTATGTTTCTCTAGCGGTTGCTTATTCAGTAAATATCTCAAAACCTTGTCAGTCTAATTGATGGTTTAGCGACACAATCATGCATGCAAATAATCAGTATAGGCAGTCGAGCAAACCTGTAAACTGAAAACATCAATGTCGAATTTACCCCAACACTGACTAAGTTTCAAGCCATTATCATAGACATGAGTTGGGAGTGTACTCCCCTTGGTTACAACTTATGTTCTCCCTTACAATCACATGAGCATCACTTACTATTAATCATCTTGTAAAAACTTATTTAGCCAAATACATCTTGCAGCACCACATCACTTAGTAATATGACACATAAGCTTAACTGATTTTAATAACTTATAACCACTATATCTCAATTAAATCGTATTCCGCCTTATGATAAACTGCATACTTGCAACTAACTTGTGTGCCCAATCAGCCGGCAAGTATAAATATAAATAAATAGTCTGCCGCAGATCAGAACATTGAGTCTAGAGCATGTCTCTTACGAACACACTCATGTTTAACGATTTTTTCCTAGCTATCTGTCCAAAATCCATATAATTATCACTCATGTATTTAAATTTTATTTTGATAACCGTTCATGTGTATTATTAGTATTACTAAATTCTATCACGGTCAAGTAAAAATGAGGTTGAGAAAATCTCCCGGTAACTAAATAAACCGTATCAAACTAACTGGAACACTAGTTGGAATTCTTCTCCACGGTAATACTTTTGTTCCTTCAGTTAGCCTACTAATACAGATGCAATTGGAAATCAATTCATATGGACAACTTACCGGCATAATCGTTATCTGATTTCATAATTTAAACCAAAACTAATACCAATATTAACATTTCTACAATATTCATTATTTTAATATTTCTAAACACAAAATAATTACTACCTATAAGTTAAGTTATTAACACGCATCGTTTTATTATCATTATTATTGTTATGCCATTCTTTATAGTTCAAATAATCTTCAACCAAATTTTCATTTTAAGCGTGTTAATCATGAAAGCAGATATTTTAAAACTATTACATGTATTTCTCGACCAGATGCTGCCGCCTTCTTTTTGATTTATCTTTCAGCTTATCAATACCCGGAGGATCCTTATTATCCTTGGTAACCTCCGGCGCGTGACGATCCCATCCAATTTGGTATCGAACCAACATCACGTTGATTCTGGTGGGAGAGTAGTGTAGTGGCATTGGACCATAACCACACAATCTTCAAAGCTGAACACAACGCTACTCGGAAAATAGATATTCAATATTTAACACGGAGAAATACCTAACGATGGAAAAGGTGGGAACAATGAAGGGAATGAACTGGAGTTGATCGAGTGGCATGGCTCGGCCATGCAGGCGTGGTCTCTGATGAATGTTACCTTATATCTTCTATTCATATTAAATATATTGTTCTCTCTCTAGCCTAACCTTGTTCTACATCATGTATTGGTAATTGATACGATACAGTGAGTTGGTGTAGTCGATGGTGTGACTTCCACGTAAGATCTTATAGATTAGGCAGTTATATCACGACAAATCTACAAATTTAGGATTAGGTCTATTATTAGAGCAGTACTAATATCATAGTAGACCATAATTCTACAGATGCATTAAATTTTGAAACGTTCTTGAGGCTTTTTAAATGTTAGTGATCTCTAAACCCCAAAACGTGTTTTACACCTAAAGTTAGGCGTGTTTATCTCCGTAAAACGGTTGAGATTTCCAAAGAAAGGGACTTGGCTTTGAATGGTGAGCTGCACAAAGTCAAGATTCAGGATTGGTATCGTTATGAGTTGGCTAGCATAGAGACATTGGCGAACCTTTAGTGACCCACTTCTGTCAAGAGAATGCGATTGGTGCAGTGAAAACAATTGTTATTATAACCAGTTACACCAGGAATTGTTTTACTGGATTTGTTTGTTTAACTGCGCTAGAATACATACACTTTTCCGTTGCTTGTGACCTTGCATGAATTCGGTTACGCTCAGTAACCACACTTGTAACCTGGCACGATCTCGATATTCTCTCGATACCACGATATCGCCAACAAATACATCTCGACTACAGCCGTCAATTGCCTTCCGATATTTGGCCCATGGGGGATCTTATCGGTTAACTGGCACGAAGTCTTCCTGCAGTGGTGGCCATAGTCAACCATGACTCGACACCGCACTACAGACCCATCACAATTCACAACAAATTAGGTCATTCACAAGGTCACCCACAGCACCTTAACCAGTAAACCTTTTATATCCGAAACGTGTCAGCCCAGTGAAACCAGGATTAAGAAGCGAAGAGGTTATAAGATATATCTGATGGAATAAAGATTTATCGAAAAAGGGCTAATCTATGATGGATAGAGGTTGTGGGAGATGTGAGGTACGGCGTACTCATACGTGATCTTGTGCGGATGCGTGACTGGGCGCCTTCAACTAGATGAGTCCATTTAAACGAATACTGTCAGCATCAAATGTTGGAGACTTACAGAGCTATTGATTCTCAGGATTTATTTGACTCTACACTTAATTTGATCAAACTGTTCACCAAGCATCATTGACTTCCGGAAAACCAATGACAATAAAACTAAGGTAACAGCTTAGAGTAACACTAAATGTCTATGGGTCCCAAAAGCTCGCGCGATAGCCACGATAGACAAAGACTTATCAAGCAAATAATGTCCGGTTATACAGTTCAAGTTCACGAAGCACCAATACAATAATGTTGAGTAACTAGAATAATTCTAGATCTTCTTGAGTCACCAACAATTATCCTACCACTAAACATGATGAATTAAACGAAATAATTCAAACGGGTCGCCAATGTGAGACGCTACACGATAAATTTCAAATTTCTAACCATAGTTGGAAGTCGAGCATAGAATAGAGGATAGGTAGTGTTGTATGGTTCTGCAACGACATTTGAAGGCATAATGAACATGAAAGAATCAGACAATACTGGTAACCACGTATCGTCTAACTAAACAATCCTAAAACAAACAAGCAAGATGACTGTGTGGAACAACATTTGCATGAACAGGCAGAGAAACATGATGTTTCTATTTTTAACATTGCTTACAGTTGTCATCACTGTCCTGTTACTTCTATGTTTTGGCCGAATACAGCATGTAGTAGATTTTTATCACGTGGTTCAACTGAGGAAGGTCTGAAGAGGCATATATTGAATATTTTGTCATAAGAGTTCATAAGCTAAGCAACATCATCGAATGACGTTTCCAAAGTAATATTCGATGTCCTCAATCGATACGAAACGAGTTTTTCTAAGTCCCTTTCGCTGTTCAGCCCAAAGGATAAACCTCTTCTTTTAGGTTTCATAGGCACTAATCCAGGGAATCTCACCTTTGCATATTCGAAAGTCCCCTCTGACGAAGTATAAACCGACCTCAAAAAGCAGTCCATTCGTCAATATGAATCCTACCTACCAAGTGAAATCAAAAAACAGAAGCGAGGAGGTTAGAAGATATATTTGATAGGCTATCAATATATCGAGGATCGTCTGATCTAATCTGGCTAGCGATTGCAGGGGGTGTTGAGCACGGCGTTCTCACTCGTGATCTGGTGTGGATGCATGACCGGGCGCCTTCAGCCAGGCGAGTCCATTAAAAGTAATGCGGTCAGCATCCAATGTCGAAAATTTACAGAGCTGTTTATTTGGGTATTTATTTACCGCTACATGCTCAAACACATACTGTTTTATAAATCATTTCTGCATAAAAATGTTGGTTCACGCGAAAACTCAATTCGACAATTTGTTTAACTAGGTAGAACACAATAGAACCACCTTCTAGACTTCGAAGCGCGATAACTTCTGTTCTGCATTACCCTGCTTGCTTGTTGTGTCATGGCTGTGTCAGTTGTTGGTTTCGATATTGGCTCTTTGACTTCCTACATTGGTGTCGCTAGAGGTGGCGGAGTCGAAGTGATTACAAACGAGTATAGTGAGAGGGCTACACCGTAAGTCTCCTGTGTTGTTGATCTTCTCAGAACATGTGTTGCTTTTTCCGGGGAATTAGTCCTTGTGGGAACAGCTGCCAAGTTACAACAAGTTATGAATATCCAGAATACTTTTACAAGCTTTACTCGGCTGCTCGGAAAGTGTCTGTCAGACTCCTCAGTTGTGAACGAAAGAAAGTTCATAACCCATCAAGTTGAATCAACTCGTGATGGTCGCATCACACTTTCGGTAAGTCTTTTCATTTAGCTGTTTCATTTTGTCGAGGCTTTTCTGAAAGGCCAAAAAACTCCTTTTGCTCCTGAGCAAATTTTGGCAATTCAAATGAATAAACTTAAGGAAATTGCAGAGACTACTATTGGTTCTAAAGTGGTTGATGTTGTTGTCAATGTTCCTACTTACTACACAGATGCCGAACGAAGATCTGTATTAGATGCCACAAAAGTGGCAGGATTAAACTGTGTAAAGCTAGTGAATGATATAACTGCAAGTAAGTTCTGCTTGGATTCCTAATCTCGTAAGTTGGTACCGCGTACGGGTTTTACCACACAGACTTACCACCAGCTGATCAACAGCCGAAAATAGTGGCATTTGTCAGTGTTGGTTATAGTACTACGCAAGTTGGTATTTGCAGTTTCAACACAGGCAAGATGAAAGTCCTTGCAACTACGTGTGATGCTTTTCTTGGTGGTCGGGATTTTGACGAAAGGCTTTTCAACAAATTCGCTAGTGAATTTCAGCAACAGTACAAACTAAAGGTACGTTTGTGTTAGGTTGTTTCACTTTTGCAGGGTTCACTATCATCAAAAGCGACTATAAGGTTGCTTCAGGAATGTGAAAAGCTCAAGAAGTCAATGAGTGCTAATTCCTCGGAGTTACCAATCAACGTCGAGTCCCTAGCAGAAGATCGAGATTTAGCGAATAAGATGAAGCGGACTGATTTCGAAGAATTGTGCTCGGATCTCTTGCAGCGATTTCAAATGTTGTTTACAAAATGTCTTGATGTGGCTAAGTTGAAAACGGAAGATGTACACTCAGTGGAACTTATTGGTGGTAGTTCACGTATACCTATGATAAAGAACGTTGTCGCATCTGTCTTCAAACAAGAAGGCAAGACTAGCTTAAATGCCGATGAAGCTGTCGCTCGTGGATGCGCATTCCAGGTATGTCTTGTTTCAATGTAATTTCAAACGAGTTCTATAGTTATGATTAATTCATTTAATGACGGTTTTCCAAGTATTCATCGCAAATATATTTGAATTTGTTATTTGCATGTTTTGCAGTTTGTACCTGGGACCACGAAGTTTTAGGAATCCCACAGTCTAAAATATGTTTTAGAGAATGCAAAAACTGGTTTGTAACAATATTGTTTGTTAATTCATAACGATTGTGCTGATCGCATAGACTTACGGGTCCCAGATACTTGTCTAATTTATTTATGTTTGCTTTCGCTTTCTACTGGCTGGTCTAACTTCTCGAGTTATTCGTTAATTATTAACATCAGTCTTTCCTCACATACCAGCTGATTTAGGTGATTCGACTAGTCCATCTAAAAATAGTTTTACTAAACCTGTCTTAAAAATTATCCACAATTCCAGTAGCAATTCCCAATCACATGCTACGCTATCACTTAGTAACTGCTTACGGAAGGAACACCAATACAAACAAACTTAGTAAGGCTGTTGACTCGCATAAAGTAGTCATCATTTAGAAACAGCTTATTAAAGCGTAGATTGGCAAGATCTTATCCACATCTAGGTCTCACCAACCGCTGTCCAAGCAAGAGGATGAGTTCAAATAATTAACTCAAGCCAAACCTGAAGCAAATTGTTTCCAAATAATTTATTTCAATATCACTTTATATTCGAGAATACAGTTTGTCAACCTCCGTTAAACAAAACTGCATACTCCAAGTCAGCAAATTTCCAGGTTAGGAAACTGAGAAATTGGACTATTTTTGGGGTAATTATAGGTATGTAGTGACTTAATCACCATGTAGTATCGACCATCTTATTTGTAATTTACTTTCTATTGGGTATTTAACTAGTTTGGTTCTGAATGTAAGTAGTGATGTGACCTGAAACATCAAGCATTTGAACTCAGTATAGTGCGTTTGAACTCATTAACTGTTGTCTCAAATAGACAAGAAATGCTAATACCTCATTTGTTGCGTCGAAAACTCCATAAACCACGTATGTATACCAGTGGTGTTCTGTAGCAGACCGTCGTACCTAAATCCACTTTAATAAGAACCTACTATATGAAGTGTATTATTTGGAAACTGTATTTTTTTAATCAGTAAATAAAGGCATTTAACAGTTCAATTAGCCTCTATCTAAGGTGATCAAAACCTAAAGAATTTTGGAAGGTCCTGTGCTTTAAACGTGGTTTTAATCTTTACATTATAGGCAGCTATCTGCTCCCCAGCTTTCAAGGTGAAAGACTTCACTGTCATTGAACAATGTCTGTATCCTATTATAATACAATTTGATCAAGAGGAAGGTAACGAACAGTGCATGCAAACTGAAGAAATTGATGGTACATTAACGACACAAGGCAAAAATATGTGCATCGAAGTTTTTCCTTTTCTCCATCCTATTCCTTCTTCACGTCAGATTGTCCTTTTACGACATGGTGTTTTTACTTTGGAAGCTCGGTACGCGAATAAAGATAGCTTACCAAACCAAAATATTGTCATTGGGACTTTCAGAATAGGAGACGCTTCTCAAGTATTCACAGAGCCTCGTAAAATCAAGCTTAAAATGCGTATGAATACCCATGGTATTTTCAATATTTCACAAGCACAATTAATAGAAGAGTATGAAAAGGAAGTTGAAGTTAGTGTTTCTGAGGACAATCCTGTAGTTGATGGACCTCCAAACTCCAAACAGGAAGTAACCACAGCTAGCAACGGAGATACTGAGAGTCAGAATCCCCCGGTGGATTCCAACCAAACAAACATGCAAGATTCTACTTCACCAAAAAAGAAGACAGTGATGAGAAAGAAGAAATTCACCAAGTATCATGATTTGAGCATTGAAGTTAGTAATATGCAGTTCACTACAAAACAGCTCAATGAGTTTTGTGAAATTGGGGTATGTTACACGTTTCCTCGCGTCTAATTTTGTCGCATATGTATCACTAGGTCTCCCCGAGTAAAACTGGAGAGTTCTAAGTTACAAAGATCCTTGTAAATTATAAGTCTTTGGTTCTTGTATTCGTCTTTTCACAACTTGTTAAATAATTTTAAGGTCTATTTCATATCTTGCACGGCGTACTTGGTAAAAGAATGCGAATCGGTAACCAAATCGACATATTCACAGGGCTTTGACTCACTTTTTGTCTTAAGAGCTCATAACTAACCGAGAGCATAAATTAAACATTTCAAATGCGCAGTTTATGTGTATAAACTATGATAATCACTTCGCTTTATTTATTTATTAAACATATAAACATTCGTACGAGGCGTCAAGTAGATATGCGCCACATAAATCATTCCATTCGTGTGAGCTATGATACTGCCCGTGTGCCTAAACCGGAGCAGGTGGTTTTCTTAGGGGGCCACACTCCGAGCCTTTGACCTAACGGTCTAATCCACAAGATAGTGAAGCGCAACGTCAGGAGATACAATCGTGGTAGCCATTGACCAAAAACTGGTTCATACAGCATTTGTTCCTTCAGAATTCTGGAGCCTATGTGCACCATTTGTTTGGAATAAGGGTTTCCAAACAATCCTAGGTGGACACTTGATATCCGTCAACCAGGTTAAGGCGCTGGATATTCGCATTTCGTCCTCTCAATTTTGTAAACAACACCCCGACCGCGAGAAAGCATTGGGTTGGACTTCCCTGACAGTGGCTGTATACGCGTGGCCATGTGAGAGCGAACTTCCCCTAACCCCCTGTCGTACCAGGGTATTTGGGGGCTTTAAAGTTCAAAATATCTGGGAATGCAAACTCGAAAAAAAGTCCTCAAAAATATATGTCTAATTACCCTTGGTTTGCTTAGGGATTGTTATTTTTCAGAATTCATTAAATGTACCATTGAATTTCTGTTATTGCATTTAAAAATTTATATAATTATGACAGTATTTTCGTCCATTTTTGGAATGTTCTTCAAACCTACAGTCTGATCTGGCTTTTTGTAGTCATAACATCTATCTTTTTCATACTAGATTGAGTTTGTTGCTACAAAGAGCTGTCTTTAAGCTTTTAGCATTCAGATAGTATTTGTCTGGCTGTTTAAATTTGTATGTAAATAATTCTCACCAAATTGGACTTAGTGAACTTGAAATTTTTTAATAGCAACCAATGAAAGATATTAGCACTAAGTCCCTCTCCTTATTTTCATGTGCTGACTCATCACCACGGTTTTATTTCCCTATGTTTTAAACATTCTTAGATAGCGTGTGTGATTGTGGTTAATCTGTACTTTAATGGTACCCATTATCCAGATGACCCCCCAGATGGATAGATTAAGCTTAGCAACAACCGAGCATCACTTCATTTGTCTCATTCAGATATGTTAAGGGACCACCAACACTTTTTAAGGTTAACTTTTACTTCTATAACAGACTAAATTTCTCTTATTGATATTCTTCTAGTGTTGTCCCGATCACTACAAAACTACTCAAGCTCTGTGAATAGTTCAACCTTTTGACAAAACCACAAGTTGTGTATCACGATTTTCTATCATCCATCAAACTGAAAACAAGCAAATACTAGTATTTCCTAAAAACTTTCTTAAAATGGGTTCGCTAAAATGAAAATGAGCCCCGGACAAGTGTTCGAGTCTTACGGTTAATCGTAATTTGTATACACTGAAAATATATGCCATGTTTGCAAATTTTGCATGACATCTCATTTTTGTCTTTAATAGGCTAATCTCATTCAACAGGACAAACTGGAACGAGAACGAGTCAATTCCAAAAATGCAGTTGAGGAGTATGTTTATGAAATGCGGTCTAAACTTCAAGGACCATTAAATCCGTTCGCTTCACCTGCTGAGTCAGAATCACTACTTCAGTTATTAGATGTGACAGAAGAGTGGTTGTATGGTGACGGTGAGAGTTTAAAACGTCACGTTTATGTAGAAAAGCTCGCCGAGTTAAGGAGCAAGGGAGATCCAATCGTCCATCGAGCGAACGAACATCTTAATCGTCCTTTAGCCGTTGACAACTTCAATCGATCACTTGTGGTGAGTTATCTCATTAGCGTGTATATGCTACACTGTAATCCATTCATTAAACCTGCTGCGTCTAACATTATATGAGTTTAAACTACAGTATTAGCCAGATCTATTCATCTCAAAAATAATGTTCTGAATTCCATTCCATCTGGTTTAAATGTCTCTCTGGTGCCTTCACCCTCAATGCAGTCTAGTCCTGTATAACTAACAGTATTTGTCACGTTTGCATAAAATTATGTGATGACTAAAATCCCACCAAATTTGGTGGCTATGTAAATTAGTAATCAAGCACGCTTATTATTCAGTCACCCAGGTTAGCTCAGATTTAGATGCAACCCAATCCTGAAGCAAGATTTTGCATTTCGAGGGGGAGAATCGCATCCCGAACATGCTTGCATTGTTGCGTAGAGTGGTCAGAAGACTGCATTTTGTCAGCGTCTTCACCAAATAGAACTGTCATCGGCATATTCTAGGTCAAAATGTGAATCTCCCGGTAAAAGTTCAACTCCTGGAAATTTAAATGAGGAAAGTGTTATCTCTAGAAGCACGTCAACGAATAAGTTAAACAAGAATTTAGAGTCGACAGCCCTGACAAACACCACTTTATGTAATCAATCCTGATGACAGTTCGCCATAGGCTCTCACTCGGCCGATTGTGTTTGAGTAGAACCTTTTTAGGGTTATTGTACTTCTTTGATACTCCTTTCAGAGACAAACGCTGTTTACGATCAAGAGTCAAATGCCGACATAAGATCGAGAAATACTACGATTGTGGGGTGTCTGAATGTCTGTGTTCTAGAGCCTGGCGTAGTGTGAATATCTTGTTTATACAACCACGTCCAAGTCAGAAACCAGCCTGTTCTTCACAAGCCTTAGTTAGGCGTCGAAGTATTATTGAGGCTACTATTTTAGACACTATATTAGTCAGACTGATTCCTGTGTGATTGTCACAAGAGGACTTTTGTCCTTTCTTATAGACTGACACAATCAGTGATTGAGACCAGCCAGATGGGGTTACGTCCAGTTCCCAAATTCTACCCTAGACCTCCGTTAATCTCACTGCTAATACTGAACCACCATCCTTAAAAATCTCAGGAGTAAACCTGACAGGGCTTGCTGCTCTCCCTTGTTTCAGATTTCCTGTGGTTTTTTCAACTTCGTAAAGGGACGGAGGACCTACATTAACTTGCCATTCAGGTTGACTAGAGATCGTGGGAAACCGAAGTGTGGCTGAAGGCCAGTTAGACTGATCCCTAAAGTGTTCTGCCCATCGATCCAATCTTCTGGATTGAGAATGTATAATATGTCCATCTTTCTTTGAGAGTGTTTCGCTAACAGTCGGCTTCCTTAACAAGTTTAAACAGTTGTCTATTACCTATTGCCTCTGCCTTTTCCATCTCTCTTGCTTTCGCTACCCACCACTGTTCACGATCATTGCGTAGACTTCTTGTCAGCTTGCGCTTAAGCTGACTCTGCTCTTCATTATGTTCAGAGCCAGATGGAATGAGTTTTCGAGCATCTATCAGTGCGGTAGATGCTGCTGAGATCCAGTGTTTCTCTCTAACCTTGTGGTTCACCTTACTAGCATATATCACTGAAATATATTCTTAGCTTGGCTATCATTAAGTAGAATCCTAAGAGGTTTTTCTGCAGAGTCTTTCCTACGTCCAGTAAGTCACAGACATACGCGCACTCACTAGAGCAGTATTTGAATCTAAGCAGTCTTCTGTCAAGCCCCTCCATCGGTGACTGATAGAGATGTAGTCTAGTTGGGTCCAGCGTTGGGACGGATTCTGGGGTCGCCATGTCAAAGGATGTTTTTTCTTATGCTTAAAGTTAGCATTTGCAAGATAGAGGCGGTTATCTGAGCATAGCTGCAACAGACGGTTGCCATTATCTGTTCCTTGAGCCACGATGCCATAAAATCCACCCGGGTGTCTCTTCTCTCAGTTTACCTACTTGAGCAATGAAGTCACCAGCCATTATTACTGCACCAGAGCGCCCAACCTTTTGGAGGTCAGAAAGATTTCTGTGAAACACATCTTTTATCTCATCTGAGTTGCAGTCAGTCGGAAAGTAGGCAGAGATGACAAGTGTCTCTATCTTTCCGAGTCCTTACTGTTCCGTCTAGTCGGAGAGCGCACAAGCGACTGTCTGCTAGGATCCAGTCTAAGAAAGCTAGTTCTGCCCTTGGACACAATACTACACCTACACCAGCGAGGCCACGGGAAACAGAATCAGGGCTTCCAGTTATATGAAACGTTTATCGAGATGGTTCTTTATTTTGATACAGTGAGGTCAAACGAATCACGCTACTCGAATCCTGTATGCGCGTTTCGGGGACGCGGCATACATCGATGACCCGAGATTCTAAAGTCCTAGCTAAGAAAGCCTGTTGTTCTGTTTGGCAGTGTTCAGATGTTAAAAGCTCCTACATGTAGTTTAGAGCGTGGTTTCAAGAGACCAGGAATAACGTTCCGCGTACTCGAATCGTTTGCCCTAGCGGTGCGTGTTATGACCTTAGTGTCAGGCTTTTCTATCACGCGAATTATCCACCAATCAGAATACGACTTATACAAATCTTCACACTATGCCAACCAATGACGTTCAACCGGTATGAGCAGTCTAGCGTCCTTATTGGTCCTATGTCCTCCAAGCCCGTCCACTAGAGTCCAGAACACAACGCCAGCTTCAGCAATATGAATCGAATCGTTTATTTCAGGCATACTCGGTTTATATATCAATCAGACAGACCACAACGTACCATAAAAAAAGAAAATAACATGTGTACACAATAAAGCCAAAAAGTGGCTGTGAATGTGGGAGGCAGTAGTCAATAAAATGAACATAGCTTAAGAACCGTAAATCGTATAATAATAAATTATAGGTCAAAATAAAGCTTATAATAAGGGGGATATAAATATACATAATGTAATTATTGAGTAGTTATACAATAAGAATATTTATAGAATACTAGTCCATTAATAGTCCTCAGAAGTTACCCGTAATTTAATCTTCACTCGGATATAACAGTGCAAGGTGATAAAGGGACATGAAAAGGGTTAGTCGTGGAGATAAGAGAGTTATTAGGTGTAGGAAAGATTTGAATGTGACCAACTTGGTCTCGTGTGCTGTTACAGGTATGAGGGCTGATATCACTTCCCGGCTGCCCACATCGTGGAAGGGTATTTTTTAAGGAGCCTGGAAAAAAAGTGAATTAATGTTGGTCTTAACGACCTGGGAGCGTGACCGCAGAGCCCAAGGGGCAGTTGCTTGAGGCCGGTCGCGCGCGACCTTTTTGTGGGAGATTTTAAACGTGTTATCTCCGTTCTTCAAAGGGCCTTATTACCGGAGAAGGAGATCCGTGAGGTGGGAAATTTTTAGGGTTGAACTTTTTAAACCCTACCCTTCCTTGTGAGAAGGCAGCATCGCTGCAGATGTTAGTTGTTCAAGGGAAACACCTTACTGCTGTCACACTTCTCTACAGTCAACAGTACGACTTCGCCCTCAGACCTTGAGTTGCTTCTTTTAGTCTTACCTTTCTCTAATCGATATACTTGATATGGTAGAACCTACAGGAACATATATTCCAGCCAATGTAGCTCGGTTTGGTCATCATGATAGACAAGCCCGACCACCACGTAATGTAGCAGCTACGGTCGAGTATACCCCAAGATGGTTAAGGATAAATGCCAAATTTATCTTATACGAGTCCGTATTTTGGTAAAAGTAAATGACCAAGATTATCACTGCTGTTGGTGTTTTGTCGCTCAATCTCTTTCTGGTGATTTGAGTTTGCTTTCGTCACTTCCGCCAAAACAGCGTGTGAAGTGCTTTTCCATCTATATTCAAAAGAATCGTTCAGCTAAAAATAGTGACAAATATTATTTGCTTTTTAATTAATGACCCATGATATCAGTCAGTTTGATTATAAAGGAAGTAAGTTAATAGAAGGTTGTTTACTGAAAACTAATGTTCGACTTGATAATCACTGTAGAACTTTGTATTGTCCAAACAGATTCTTAAAATCGTATATGACGAAATAGATTGTAACACAGCAACCTAATTAAAACTCTAGAATCCTATGACTTTATTTCAGCTTGTGATAGCTGTAGGTGCTCAAGTCTATAAAATCACTTTTATAATGTATTTTTATTTAACTGTATTAAATCTAAAAAATTTCATGCAAATGGTATCATTGGTTGTGTTGATTCAAACAAGTGGCATCAAAAAGATTTTCGAAAACTACTAAGGTAGACCATGGTAACCATATTTCGCAGACTAAGCTAAACATTATGGCTAGCTCACTAACCTACAAAGTACTTGACGGTACATTTTTTTGTCTTGATAAAATCCAACGTCTTTATGAAAATCTTATTCCACTCAGCATTTATTCAAAATGTAAGAAATATATTTAATCTTATAACGGTACATAGTTATGAAAATCCTTCCTGGTCTTTACCAAAAACCACACATTGTTTATCTGTTTCCATCATAGTCAACATACTTAAGTGTTAGCAAAAGTATGATATACTTGTAACTGTATACTATTTGAAATCTGTTCTTCTGGTTGTCTCAGTTGGAAAATTTTCCTATGTTTGACTTTCTTTGTTGTACAGCGTATAAGGAAAGTGCTAGACAGTATTGCAGCTGGAGAACCAACTTATGACCACTTAACACAGGCGCAGGTTAATCAGCTGGAAGATATGATAGTACAGTATGAGACCTGGTTGAACCAGCAAATGATGCAACAAAATCCTAGACCACAAACTTCAGATCCTGTAGTTAAAGTTACAGATATCGTATCTCAACAGCAAGTAAGTAGTATGCAATTTCCTAATTTTTCCAGATTATTTATTTATTTAGACACAAATATTGGTACAAGGAGACACCAAATATTATATATATATATATATATATATATATATATATATACGCCACAGAAATCATTCGGTTTTTGTGAGGGTTGAAATATTCCATGTCTCGAATAAACATGTTAATATTATTGTAAGGATTCATTGCGGTATCATCTACTAGTTCTTTTTCAGAATAGCGTTTCACTATCAGTCTGTTGAAGTTCATTAAGTTCGCAGTAGACAAAGATCCCTGGATGCATGCAACGTCTTAATTCACTTAAAGTAGAAAACCAGTTTTCCAGGATAAAATTATAAATCAACAGGTTCTAGCAAACTATTGTTTCGCGAGATGCTTAAATTTTTATTATAACGTAGTGATCAGTTTTTAAGTAATTCAAATGTGTATTTTTTCAATACACCAAACTTTACATTATTAAGGCAAGGAAAGAATCTAGCAACCTTTAATACCATTTAGGTTTCTTAAGGCCCACTGGAATAGAACTCCAGAGTTTTCACTACTAGTTTATGTTTTCCGATTCAACACATTATTTGAGTGTCGCAATATCCGGTATATGGTCTGAAGCGCGTCACCTCTGGCGTAGGCGAAATATCCGCTTGCTAACCAAAAGGCGAGCTTACTGTGCAAAATTTCTCTCCGTCCTACTTTATATGTATTTTGGGACCACCGAATCAGCAATGCCTGATTACTGGATAGAGATGGCAAGTCGGTTGTCGAAGTAGTAAGTCTTTACCAGCTGATTTATTGGGACATATGTTACGTATATCCAACCAATATTCACCCCGACGAGCGACGCCGTCTGGCATGGGAGTAGGCTAGAAAAAATCTAGGGTTGGCCAACCCAAAATATGACGTCAGTCCATGGAATCATTAACAATTAGACTAAGCCATGTTAATAGTTGTAAACTACTTCATCGGGGTCCACGTGCTTATCGTAACCAGCGATTAGACTGAATCACATGAGTCGAAATCGTTTACAATGACGCAGGCACATCCATTCATTGTTTCTTCCTAGATTCTAGGCTTCTGATTTCCATGAGATTTATCTCACTAATTCATATTTTCGTGGATCGTATCTGTGATACTTAATCTTTTATATTACCACTAATACTGTTACTAAATCTACAGCTCTTAGATTTTTCATAACAATTTCATTTCTCTCTGTGCTAATGGGATATGGCAACTTGAACTGATGTAAATACGTACTAGGTTCTACGTTGCGACTGACTTATACGAAGAAAGATGAAGATTCAGACAGAAAGGAGTTATTAGCCTAGAGCATGACACAAATGTGCTTTGAAACAAGTCATATTGAATTAACATGACGAGATAAAAAATAACGAAATAGAGAAAAGACTAAACCTTATAAATTTGGTTCGAAATGAATAGTTGATAAACAATTAAAAATCAAATGTTTCTGCAACTTTATGGGTAATTCATACTTCTAATTTCTTTATCCCGCTGAAGGATACCTCTTTAAGGAACTGGTTTAGTGTTAACATTTTTTCGACCTTGGAACATGGATTTTGCTTAGTTACTAAGTTCAGGTTTATATTCTTGAATTTATACCATTTTGTGCACCTATCTGATTATATTAAAACTAAAGTGAATCGGAGGTTGGACAAGGTACTAATGTTTTAACTGACACTATCCTCCAAAAATGCCCTATTGTCCGTACAACCAATAGCACTGTGGTGTATGCTACTTATGTCGTATGTAGCACCAATCGGAAGTGGAAGGCACACGAGCAAAAGATTAAGAAGATTCATTTGAAGAGGACAGAAAGTAACTTTAATAACAACAGAATTGAAAGATTGGTTTTCATAGTTTACAAAAGCAGGTAACAACTACTTACGTCATATAACTCACGTAACGAGTTAGCCATTGTTCAGAGTGTGTAGCATCGTAATTAAATTATAGTTCTACTGTTAACAGAATTACTTTTAATATTTTTACCATTTAAACCCAGTTTTTCTCATTTATCTTTTAGGCCATGGAATCAGTGTGTCATCCAATTATCAATACTCCAAAGCCTCCAACGGCGTCTCATACAAATAATACTCCAGACCTTAACTCTCAAAATTCTGGACAGTCCAACGATGTGAATAATCCAAACACAAATTCTAACCCCGGAACAAATCATTCCAAAAAGGGTGCTGATGATGAACAAAATATGGACTTAGATTGATGGGAGATATGACTTATTTCTTTGAAATCTTATAATGTTTCATTCAGCATTTTGTCCAATTCTTCATTGTTTGACTTTTGTTATGACTTTCTAAGTGGGTTCTGTATTATAAAGCGTTACAGAGCGGCTTCTCACTCCTCATCGGCATGAATATGAATGGTAGGACAAAAAGTCTAGAGAATTTTCTAGACTTTCACTTTAATGCAATGCCCCGAAGAGTTTTTGAACGTTCCCCGCTTGAAGTCTCCTGATGGTCTCAGTGTTCTCTTTTAGCCAGAGCACTTCATTCGGGACAATTGTCTAGATGTATCCCATTTCCGCCCTCTGATGTGTTGGATATGTACGTTTGGTCAATACTGGTTTATTCGTAAAGTAGTTCTGCCACTAACTTCCTTCTTTATGTCATTCGAGTACTTAGTTCGCTATTTCGTAACGTTCTCTGGGTTTTATGGCCGTTTACTACGAATATTCAAACTTATTAGTGGGAAATTATATTTGAATTAATCTCAGCAATTTAAATAATCCGAACGTTTCGTCCAGCAAACCCTGAAGAAGTCTGCTGGATGAGTTCTTGGGGTTGTTTAAATTTCAATCGGTGAGATTATTTCAAATATAATTTTTACAAGTATTGTCTTCTCTACACTTGGCGCCCAATTTTCGCTGAAATATTCTTCCTAATATTAACGAATACTCGTATAGAATGTTCGAACTGTTGATGTATAGTCCTCGGTCGACTATCTGTAGGAGAAATTCCGCTTTGGATTTTACTATGTTTTGTTAAAGCGAGACTGGGCAACGTCCACTCATCTTACGGGGCTTCTACGTATATGTTCTGAATACAATTAATATTAAGTAAACTGTCTTCATTTGATTGGATGTAAATTTAATAAGTAGAGATACGTCATTGCACTTAAGCGGCCCATGGAGACTAATGGCCATTGAACGACTGATAGTACGTTTACGTCAGTTTTTGACAATAAAAACATTTAAAATCCGATCTAGACATGATGTCACAGTAGTGGATGTATCTTGTCAATTAACAGGTGAAAGCCTCGATCATGTGTATACGCATAGTACGACGTTAACACCGACCTAGTGTAATGGGATATCCTGAGTGATATAGTCAGTGTTTGGTTACAGCTACTGAATTAGATTCGACGTCAGATACCATGCCTTTATTCAAACTAACCCTATTCTACGAACTCCCGGTTCTGTTCATTTAGTCACTTTGACCATTTAAACTTTACTACCAAATAATGAACAGAGGCTCGGCAAAAATTAAAAAAATCAAATTTCCGTGTGTTGTAACGCTGGGTGGTCATTCATGTATAAAGTTGGGTTACATTTTGTTTTGGACTGATCTTGTTCGGTTTTAAGTGCGTTGGGACTGCATCTCGCCCCATTAGGTTATAGTGTCTCCAAACCAGTCGTAGGTCATATTGTATCTTTAGTTTACTGGTTCAGTATATTCTAGATTTTTAAGGCGATCCAGGTAGTCGCTAAACACTTAGGAATAAAGCAAGAAGAAATATCGCAGCAGAATAACATGGGTTCTCCATCTACTTACAACCCGAAACCGAAGTATCAGTCAGCTACAACGCAGGACCAGGCACATATATGCATCGGTCGAAGTTGCCATACCTCATTAACACAACAAGATGGACACTGGATTCGTAGAAGTAGTTATTTAGAGGTGGTAATATATAAAAGAAAGATTGCAATAAGGATATTGTACAGGAAGAAAGATTTAGTACATAGAAAGAAAAATATGAAGCGGTTTTGATCTCTTAGTTTAGTAGAAGACAGAGTGCACACACCGACGCCATTGTCACTCAGAGTCTCCAACCATTGGTTACGGTAGTCACGCGGACCCCAACTAAATAGTCTGCATCTACCAACATGGCTCAGACTAGAAGTTAGTGACTTCAAGCACTGATGCCACGTTTTGGTTTGGTCGCCCCTAACTTTCTCCCAACACCGGTTAGGATTGCACGTCGTGGTTATCGGTGTTCAGGCATACGTAACACGTTGCCCAACCATCTCAGCCGATGAAGATTCGCAACCTCATCAATCAGTAAGACGAAATAACTCTACATACTTGACGTCAGAAACGTGAAATGAACTGAGTTAAAGTGTGGAAATAGAATAAAGCAGAGACCATAATACAGAAGAGCTAAAATTGTCCCGATGTTCACTTATTTGTTGCTCATTTGCTCGAAAGTTCGGATAATGAATTTAAAGTATATAAGCTTCGCCAATGCTGTTGCAACAAAATGATTTAAGCCGAATCCACTTGTCCAGAAGGGCAGTTATAAATCTTGTTTTATCCTGGTGACCTAATTTTTGTGAGATTATTACGCGAGGTTTTTTTTCCATGAACTGTAATCAAAACTAGTATCTTCACACTTCTGAGCTTTACTCAACTAGTCTGTATTGTGTAGTCTACCTTCTGTTTCGAGAAGAGAAATATTTTTGTTTTCTTACTCTTCTAGAATATTCATATGTTTAACCTTTCAATGAGCAAATAATTTTATTCTGTATCATGGTCTCTGTTTTATTCTATCTCCACACTTTAACTCAGTTCATTCAATACGTTTCGCACGTCATATGTAAACTTGTTTCGTTTTACTGAATAATATACTTTGGATTTAAGTTGCGATATTTGTCCTTTCTTTATTTCAGTTTATAAGCGGAAAAAGTTGTATAAACGCTTTCATACAGAGGCTAACCAAAATTACAGAGATGACGTTTACTAGAACTTTCTTTGGTTTGAATGGTTTGGTAGAAATAATTCATCAGTTTAAAATACTAGTGATCCCAGTCTGTCGTAAATGAAATGAAAACGATGTGGTTGGTGAAACTAAGATGTGATTGGCAATTGAGTGTGGATAGACAGGTACTGACTGCTTAAAATGTGATCTTCATATTGGTTTCCACTTCGGACTCACTACGCATAGAGTGGACTATTTGTAATTGTGGAGAAAAAAATATAGTCTACCCTATTTCCTTATTGTTGGTTGTCTCTCTTTTGAAAACGTGATCCAGTCCTTGTGTAGTCTATCAATAGAGTATTCAGTTTAGTAGTGATATCATCTTTATCGCTGGTCTTATTGTTGTATAGTAGTAGTATATTATGGCAGCAGAAAATATTCTTATTCTCTCGTTATATCAGAAGCGCTCGCTAGTCCGATTATTATCTGGCTAACTGATAATAATGTTTTTATACGATCGTCATAAGATAAACTTTGGTTGATAAACTATCAACATTTCATTTGATATACAGTATAATGCTTTATTAAAATTATTTGAGCACCTATAGAATACTATCGATTATAAAGTAAATCCATTTACAAGATTGAATGGAACACTTTTATTCAATTGAAATGGATTATTCATAAAGATGAAAAGAATGTCCAATACAGTACCGTTACATCTAGCTTGTGTTAATGATTTCAGTTTATCTTTTAATGCCTTTACTAACCTTTTCTATTATGGATTATCATATAATTAAAACAAATTCATTAAAAAGAGAACCATTAACTGAATCGCATGTTATTTCTATTATATATCTTATTCGTTTAAATAATTCAGGCTGTCGAGTAAGCCGGTGATACATACTAAAATAGGACTGGGTGATTCTTTGTAATATTAAACAGAATTTACATTGTAAGTAGTAGATCTAACAAATACTTTGTAAAATATAAATGTTAAGTAAATTAATTTATCACTATGTGTGATATACTAGAATGTTGTATAAAACATCGTACTGACACATTTCAAGAGTGATAAGTAAGGTGATTTGACACTTTAGAAATCCTCCGGAATAATTCTACAGTTGACTACTTTGATATCAAGCGGTAAGAAATAAACCAGATTAGCACTAATTTCTATTGGAGGTTAAATTTGCCAGTAGTTTCTATATCATCCAATACTTTATTTGTTAAATAAATTATAATTATGTGTATTCTTATATTCAAATATCAGAAGGCGGTTGAAGGTTGTAGCGTGATATATTTGTTGACGATCTCGTGGTATCGAAATAATATCGAGATCGTGTTCAAGGAGTACAAGCGGAATCACTGAGCAAACGTAAGTCTGTGCAAGGTCACAATCAACGGAAGGAAGGCATGTCTTTAGTAAATTTAAACAAACAAGTACAGTAAAACAATCACTGGTACAATTGGTTATAATAATAATTGTTTCCATTAAACCAATCGCGTTCTCTTGATAAAAGTAGGTCACTACAAGGTCATCCAATTAACGTTGGATTTACTTCAAATTCTTTCGCTGAGATTTTACAAATACATTCTTCCTTTTTAATGTCTAACATCAACTTGGCGCCCAAATACTGTGAAACCGTTCGATCAAATTTATACGAAAGTTCTTATATACTTAGTAACTGTTTTTGTTTTTAAGATAATCATATGCGAAATTCAATTAATTTTTAGCTGTTCGTGTTCTGCTACAACTTTTCGCTTCATATTATTATACAATCATGTGTCTAATTTCTTCTATACAAACAACAAATCGATATAAGTATATGAAAATCAACTAAATGTGTTGTGTATGACAAGATACTTTCGAATGTAACCTGAAAAATACTTTACGGTTGCGTTATTAGTAAATTTTTTATATCTTCTCACTAAGTGAGTTTAATTACTAATTCTATCAGCCATAAAGAATACTACTGTTCAAAGTGAATACCTAGGTTTTGATGGGGTTTTGTTCTCTGAGCTGGATGGTTTGGTTGTGGAGCTTTCATTGTTCTTCTGAACGACATCATCAGCACAAACTTCAGATAGTGTGAAATTTCGTTTTATTTAAAAATATCAAATATTCGTGATGTTAAATATAAAACTCGATAAACTCACACTAATAATGATCATGTACTGTATTAAGTCTACTAATCGAACTCTTGATCCGATTTCCTACTTGTTTTTAATAACTAAAGATTAAATCTTCACGACAACTTAAACACAAGTGAAAAAGTGCGGAGTGCAAAAGTCAAAGACTAGCGATATTTATTTGACTTTCAAAATGAATCAAAAAAATGGTTTTCGAACACATCGCTGCTTACGTGATTTATTTATAGGTAGATTAACAGTCAGATTTGTAAAAATTCAACTGACTTATAGTTAACAATAGTAATTCAGTAACTTACTGTGTGAACACATGGTTACAATACTATACAATTAAACATTTATAATCCTTCTTGAGATGTGGATAAAAATCGATTTCATATATCTTTCGTACTCCAATCGATTAAGCCACTGCTCTCCATACTAGCGACCAACTTTAAAGAAAAGAAATTTCCGGAATTCTGATAAGCACCTGTGACTGATGGAGTTCAATCCTGTCTATTGTACAGCAGTTATCCACCAAATGCAATGAGAAACGGTTTCGTAATAATGCAAATTTAATGAGTTTAGAAATTTAAATGATGAATTACGAAATTAATGGTCTTAATGTTAGGTGCTGGCTACGAGATTGACCGTCATAGGTTCATTACCTTATGTAATCTTGGGTGGTCAATGTTGATGA